AAGGTAAAAAAATAATTATGATTTTTTAATAAAAAATTTTGTATTTAACTATTTCTTATTTGTGTTTTTCATATTTTTTTCTTTACAAAAAGGATTTATCCTTGTTAATCCATAAATTATTAACTAAAAAGAAAACTAAATAATTTTTTAAAAAAAGCTTTAGTATTTTGTAAGATTGTGTCAAAAAACAAAAATAACAATTACTAAAAGCTTACTTGTTAATGAAAATAGTAATAAATGACAAATTATGAGTAATAAAATTCTTTATTATAATATATGTATTTTTTTTTTTGAGAAATACATCTTATGTAATTTTTAATTAATAAATTATGTTATGTGATAGTATGTGCTTATAGACGTAATTATTTTTTGAAAAAAAAGCATTATTTTTTCAAATTAGATATTTTAAACTTTAAAAATAAATAATAAACGAAATAAATTGTTGGTTCCTTTAAAATTTTAGCACCCAATTAATTATTGATTTTTTTTAAATTTTAACACCCAACATTATTCGAAACGAAAAAAAAAAAAACCTGTTCACTTTTCGAAATAGAAATAAAAAAATGGTCACACCAAAAGAAAAATTAGATATTTTAAATTTTAGAAATAAATAATAAAGAAAATAAATTATTAGTTTTTTTGTAATTTAAACACTCAACATTATTAAGAAACAGAAATTAAAAAAAAAAAGAGGCCAACTATGAGCAAGTAAATGAACAAAATTTTTTTTAAAAAAGTTCGGTGTTTAGGAAAAAAAAAAAAAAGAGATGGGAAGGGGGAAGCTGTTTCGTCGTTCGAATGAACGATGAACGAAACAAAGAAGGGAAAGAAGGCGAGAGGGCACTAGCAAAAAAAAAAATGAAAATTTAAATTAAAAGCTAAAGTACAGGTAATGAACAGTGTTAATCATTATTCATTATTATTCATTGCTACAATAAAAAATTATTTTATTTTAATTTATAGTATAATTTTTTTCCTTAAACCGAAGACCTTTTTTCTATTGAAAACTATGTTTTGTTACAATTTCTTTTTGTTAAGACTGTAACATATTAAAAATACTTTAATAAATATATTTAATACTTTATAACTTTTTTAATCCATGTGTGCATGTGTTAATATTTTTTATTAGATAATTCTTTAACTGAAAAAACAAGTAAGTAGAATGATAATACATGCACATCATTTTAATAAAAATTATCCATAATAACAATAAAAAAATTGTTTGAAAGCACACCAATATGAAATAACCAATGTACCAAAAGCAAGAGAAACTAAAGAAGATTACAGGAAGTATCTCGAATCAAAGTGTGCATACACTTAAAACGTGAAAAGAAGACGTGAAAAAATTGTGAACTTCAATTCTCCCATTCCATTCTTATTGTGAAAAAATTGTGAACTTCAACGAACTGCCAATTCTCCCATTCCATTCTTATAGTCTTTTGACCACCAATATGCACGTATTCTTCCATTAATGTGTCAGCTATAGTCTAAAGCCGTAGTTGCTTCTTCTTTTTTTTTTTTTCTTTTGTTTATTTTAAAATTTTATATTTTAGTATTTTTTTTTTATGTTAATGGGTAAATAATAGATGCCAATAGAGTAAAAAAAAAAAAAAAAACTTATTTATAAATTAATTATCCATTAACATAAATATATAATATTATTTTATCTATATTTAACCTATTATCCATTAAAATGTTTTTAAAGAATAATTAATGGACAAGTTGAATTAGATAACTACTTTGTATCCGATCCATTGCTCTAACCTTAGCCAATAGTGCAATGGCTTCAACAACAGGAACTCGTACTGCAATAATATGTCAACTGTTTTTTATAAGTCTTTCCCAGCCTAGGTAAAAATTGGCAAAATAAGAGATTTTGTAATTCACTCCATATACCCTTCAATCTTTTATATTATGTTGAAAATGTCGATCTCTCCTGCTGCAATAAAGCAATCGAACGCTTCAATTCGTTAACCAATATAAAATATGTACTATTAAAATTGTTTGAAAAAAAAAAACTTAACATGGATTGATATATATTTAGGTTGGTTTCAGAATATCCTTTACTGTCAAACCAAAACAAAAAAATGAAAAAAATTCGTACAACTATGACATGTAGAAAAGATAATTACGTACCCAAAATCTTTCCAATCTCCAAGTTGGAAGGACTGAAGAAACGTTAAGGTATCGAAGGAAATGATGCACTCGTTTTTTTCATTCGTCTTTCTCTAGTCTCTGAAGTAAGATGCATCCAATGAGTCCGCAGCACATATTTTTAATACTTAACTTTTTATTTATGTAATAATATTAAAACCAAGCCCGTATCTTTCGTTCTTGGGCACCTTCTATATATATATATATATATATCACTTTCACTTTCTCAATAAGTGAATTATTATTGCGGTATAGAGTTGATTTTGTTGATGGATCATGTGGAGGTAGTAACCAGAATATATTATTTGGATTTAATTCAAATTCTGATTTGATATATATATATAATCGCTTTCACTTTCACTTTCTCAATAAGTGAATTATTATTGCGGTATGGTGTTGATTTTGTTGATGGATCATGTGGAGGTAGTGACCAGAATATATCTGTTACTTCTATAATGCTAAATTACAATTTTACTCTTTTTTTTTTTGGAGAAAACTTTTTTCTTCAAATTATTCTAATATTTTAAAATTTGACAACAAAATAGAAAAACATTATTTTTAGCTATAAAATTTTGAGTTAAACTCAGTAAGGTTTTTTGTTAAAAAAAAACCTCGATCGAGTTTAGGTATGAAAATTGAAGAAAAACATAATAATGAGTTTTTTTTTTTTTTATCAAGAAAATTAATTGCTTGTGTGCATTTGGAAGAAATGGTTCCTCCAACCCACACCAAAAAATAAAAAAATAAAAAAAAATTATAATTTAGTATTTTAGGAGTGATAGACACGTAATCACTTAATTGAGAAATTAACGAAAGCACTTGATTGGAGATTTTGAAAAAAATTGTGCACTCAAAGATAAAAAATTCAAATCCATTTACTTGGTTGAGAAAAACATTATAATTTAGTATTCTAGAAATAACAAACACATCATATCAATTAATAAAAGAATTATAGCTCTATATTTCTGATATGGATCTGTTGCAGTTAATTTTATATTTCTCTTTTGAATTCTGATACCTTTTCTTTTCTATTTTAAGAATTATAGCTCACTTTCATACTTAGTCACTAACAAGATACATAGCCAGCCATTTGATGACTAATTAAATTATCTTTGATTATTAAGAAAAAATATAAAAAGAAAAATAAAAAGAAAGAAAGAAAACCGAAGAGGTTGCTGAGTCATGTGTGTATTTTTGGTAAGTAATAAATTTGCCTTGGGGCTCAACTCCTCTCATTTTCTTTTGGAAAGTTACGAGGCAAAGCCCACAAAAACTAGGAATAAAGCCACTAGGACGGGTAGGGCTACCCCCACCATATCAATTGTGTGCCTATATAAACATGAAAGGCAAAATCAGCTCAAGATTAGCAAAGCCGACTTTCAATTGTCATTGTTCAACCGCTCCCATTACTAATTAATAAAAACTAAACAGTATTACCGACGAAAAGAGATTTAAACATGTTTTAAATTTTTGAATAAGTATATTATAAGTACACTAATTTTAAACTTTTTTCAATTGAATATATAAATTTTTTTTAATACATCAATTTTTTCAAAACTCGTTAGTAAAATATTTTTATTAATTTTTTTGTTAACTAATGACGTATCCGTTAGTCTATAAATATCTAATTTTATCCTCTCTTTTTTTTTCCTCAATTGAGTATATAGATTTTAATTTCTTTTCGTTTAAGTATCTCAATTTTTTTAAAACTATCAATTGAGTAATTTCATCAATTTCTCCGTTAACCGATAAAGTATCCGTTACTTCTATAATGCTAAATTACAATTTTGCTCTTTTTTTTTTGGAGAAAACTTTTTTCTTCAAATTATTCTAATATTTTAAAATTTGACAACAAAATAGAAAAACATTATTTTTAGCTATAAAATTTTGATTTAAACTCGGTAAGGTTTTTTGTTAAAAAAAAACCTCGATCGAGTTTAGGTATGAAAATTGAAGAAAAACATAATAATGAGTTTTTTTTTTTAATCAAGAAAATTAATTGCTTGTGTGCATTTGGAAGAAATGGTTCCTCCAACCCACACCAAAAAAAAAAAAAAAAAAAAAAAAATTATAATTTAGTATTTTAGGAGTGATAGACACGTAATCACTTAATTGAGAAATTAACGAAAACACTTGATTGGAGATGTTGAAAAAAATTGTGCACTCAAAGATAAAAAATTTAAATCCATTTACTTGGTTGAGAAAAACATTATAATTTAGTATTCTAGAAATAACAAACACATCATATCAATTAATAAAAGAAATTAACAAAAATACTTAATTAGGAGTGCATTAAAATGAAAAAAAATAAAATTTATATGCGTGATTGAAAAGAAGTTAATAGTACAATTATCCTTTTAAATTTCTATTTTGAATGTCAAATGATGTGCAGTGTAGGTAGAGCAATCCCCTTGAACATTTAATTATAAAAAAGATTTCGTTCCCAAAAGTCTAAGGATTTGACTAGTCTTAAAAGAGAAAATAAGACTACTATTTTCAATAGCCGACCAAAAATAGGGAGCACTTTTCAGTGTCTTAAAATTTTAATATAAGATGCGTGTTAGGTTAAAAGGCTTTTTTTTCCAATATGAATCAGCTCAACAGGAAAAGGAAAAGTACCACAAAGACAAAAAGGAATCTAATCATGTTTTAAATTTCTTGAATATTTAATTACAGGAAAAGTTTCAATTTCAAAAGTTAAGGATTTCATTGATATTAAAAGAGAAGATAAGGATTAAAAAAGAAATTCTAGTGTAAAAAAACGAAGAACTATCGAGGAATATTGTATATCGAAGAACTATCTATCCTCCTTTCCTACTTCAACCTGTTCACTCTTCTGAAAAAATATGGATCAAACTTCTTTTGCAGGATTGCTTAATCTCTTATCCAACCACTTTCTCTTATTTTTACTTTTACCTCTGATATTCTTTATCATCCTCAAGTATATTAGTTCACCATCTTCTCCAAGTAAGTCCCTTCCACCTGGTCCAAAGCCATGGCCTATCATAGGCAACATTCTCCATATGGGGAATCAGCCTCATCTCTCACTGGCGAAATTGGCCAAAATTCATGGCCCTATTATCTCACTAAGGCTTGGCATTCAACTCCTTGTTGTTGGGTCATCTCCAGAGGCAGCAGTTGAAATTCTCAGAACACATGATCGATTGCTCTCGGCTCGACATATACCTAAACAGTTTCCTTATGAAAGCCATGTCCTTAACCACATAGCCCTTATCTGGTCTAGTGAATGCACCGAGAGATGGAAATGGTTACGAGCCTTATGTAAGGCTGAGCTATTTTCAGCCAAAGCAATGGAGTCACATGCCCCTTTGAGAGAGAAGAAAGTTGGCGAGATGGTGGAATTTTTGGGAGCCAGGGAAGGAGAAACTGTTGAGATCGCAGAAGTGGTGTTTAACACTGTTTTTAACATGCTGTCTAATCTCTTATTCTCAAAGGATCTTGCTGGTTTGGAAGAGAAAGGGGTGTTGGGTAGTGGATTAAAGAGTCATATTCGCAAGATGATCATGTTGCTTGCTACACCTTATATTGCTAATTTTTATCCTGTATTTGCAGGGTTGGATCTTCAAGGTCTAAAAAGAAGTTCGACAATTGTTTAAAGGAAATGTTTTCTGTATGGGAACTTGACATCAAGGAAAGAAGACAAAGTCATGTGCACGATGCTCCTAAAAGAGATTTCTTGGATATTTTTCTTGCAAATGGATTTGAAGATGATCAAATCAATTGGTTAGCTACGGTATGAAACATCTCTCGCTCTTTCAGTGGATACCAAGTTTATAGCTTAATTTCTGCCGTGAAGTGCACTCCACTGCCATTTTTTGAAACAGAGTTACTCTGTTCTCCCAGATTAAAATGCCTCAAAAACATCAGAAAGTAACATTTGAAACATTTCATTTAGTTGGACCAAATCAATTTTGCTGTAAACTTAATGCCTTCCAATTAAAATCTACTCACCGATCAGTTTCAAGAAGACTATAAGCATTATCTATTGGATTCGTTTGCAGGAGTTGTTTGCTGCGGGAGCAGACACTACTTCCACAACAGTAGAGTGGGCGATGGCAGAACTGCTCAAGAACGATGAAGTCATGAACAAAGTTCGGGAAGAGCTAGAAAGAGAAATAAGCAGCAATACAATATATGAATCTCATGTCTCTCAACTTCCATATTTAAATGCTTGTATCAAGGAAACACTCAGGTTACATCCTCCTGCGCCATTCCTGGTTCCACATCGTGCTATGGAGACCTGTGAGGTTATGAATTACACAATTCCGAAGGATTCTCAGGTGCTTGTGAATGTTTGGGCAATCGGACGTGATCCATCGATCTGGGAAGACCCTTTATCGTTTAAACCAGAGAGGTTTCTTGACTCAAATTTGGACTTCAAAGGTAACAACTATGAGTTTCTTCCTTTTGGTGCTGGAAGAAGAATTTGCCCTGGACTACCTCTGGCTACTAAGCAAATTCCCTTGATCTTAGCCTCTTTGATGCATTTATTTGATTGGTCTCTTGCAAATGGTGAGGAACTTTCAAAGTTAGATATGAACGGAAAGTTTGGAGTAATAATGCAGAAGGAACAACCTCTACTTCTTGTTCCTAAGAAAAGATTGTAACTTCAAAACTGGATATTGTCTCTCAAATTTAAGTTACTGTCACATTTGCTTCAATCAAATGGGTTGTTGTAACTCAATTTTAGCATTATTGCATAATTCACTCTTTATCTCATTACCTTCAGATATATATATATATATTTTTTTTTTTTGGGCCTATTTTGGGATTTAGGTTTAAGTGTTTTTAGCTGCTTGAAGGTTCCGAATGTGGGAATTTTTAAGCACCTTGCTTTGTTTGTTGGGGAGATAATTTCTTGATTTGCTTCAAGCTGGAGGAAGGACACCATCTTATCAACCAGCATAGGCCTTAGCTGCTGCTTCAACCAAAGACACAACAGTTAAAGGTTGGGTGCGTTTTCCTTTTTCCTTGTCACAAGTTTGTCAACTTTAATTACCAAGAACTTTCAATTCCTTTCTCTTTCTTGCATTATTCAATTCATAGTGCATTACACAGACATGACTGGTATACCACTTAAAATTTAACATATATAAGACCAGTAAAAACAATAAATAAAAAGACTAACAATCTATTTGGAAAAGGAGAAATATGTCTGTTGAAATTATAAGACCAGTAAAAATTGCATTGAATTATAAGACCAGTAAACGATCTAAATATGTCTGTCGAAATATGTCTCTTTCTCTTTCTCTTTCTTGCATTATTCAATTCCTTTTGATCTGTTTTGCATAGAAAAACGACGAAAAAAATATCTAAATTGGACTACATTGCATTGAATTATAAGACCAGTAAAAATTAAATTTTGGAAAATGCTTAAGAAATAATAAAAAAATTACATTTTTTCTTAAGATTTTCATAAGCATTTCCAATTTTTTTATTCAAATAATGTTTTGCATGTTTAAAGAAAAGCTATATCATCAACACCACCTCTGTTAAAAATTTTCTGTTAACACCTACATGTCGACTTCTTCTATATCTGGTAAATTTTTTGAAGATACATTAACTATTTAATTGATCTAAAGAAGAGGAAGAATCCAAATGAGGCTCACTCGGACAAAAAGCTCAACAACAAAAACCACTCCAACCCAATATCCACATAATCTTTAATACTATTGTTGGCCCAAACACTTACCAAACGTACCCAAACCAAACAGGATCCCAACCCTATAACCCAAATCAGAATATATCCTTCCAAGCCCAACCTTTCTTGCTAGGCCTACTGGTAGCCCAAGTAGGCGGGATAGACCCCTCCCACTGCCCATGAGGCCATGAACCCCCAAATCTTGTCAATGATTTCGAGTTTAGCTCCTTTGAATCACAGCCAAAATGTCTCCAACCTCTCAGATATCCAAAGTAACCTTGGTAAGGTAGTGGATCAATAATGTGAGGAAACGAATCAAGTAAAAAAATAAAATAAAAAGATAAGAACAATCACACAATATAAGGATTTTACGTAGTTTAACAATATTATCTACTCCATTGCTATACTAAAATTTCTTATTAGATTTTATCAAGTAACGAAAACAAATACAAATGATATTATATCTAATCCAATATTTTATAGACCTTTTAAGAGTTCTACCCTCGAGCCATTGTCCTCTTGAATCTCGCTTATTAACCGATTAACAAAACCATCATGCTGAATCTATACGGCGTTTTATACCGTAGGTCTCCATCCAATGTCGGTCTCCAAAATATGATGGTGCTTGCGTTCCACCATGCCATTTTGTTGGAGAGCATACGTGTAAGTGATATGTCCGATCATTTCATATTCAAAATAATAATTCATAAAATCTGAATGATTGAATTTAAGGTTAGCATCATTACGAAAAATCTTTATTTTGATATTGAACTACGTATGCACCCAATTGAAAAAGAATAGAAAATAATGCCTAGTTTTAGATTTATCTTTCATGAGAAGAAACCATGTTGTCCAATTGTGATCATCAACAATTATAAGAAAATAACACGACTCATAATAACATACGGTATGGTCTCCAAAAATCACAATTTGATTTGTTAACAAGTTGAAAAAGACAATCTAATCTACTTGATCCTACAATATACATCACAGATTTATTTATTTATTTTGATAAATCGACTGCAACATATAACTTTGGAAATAGCAGCACATAATTAATTAATATGTGTCCTAGATGAAGATGCCACAAATCCATCATATTGAACCTTTTTTCCATCAACACTTTCTCGACCTCTATTAGTTCCAAATAATAAAAGACCATTTTATATTGTATTCTCTCCGACCAGCTTGCTTTTTGGAAGGTAAATATTGTATCACATAATATTCAAATCTAAATATTAAAATGCGATTAAAATCTCAGAGTCAATGTACTTATAAATAGTAAATTAAAACAAAAATTAAGTACTCCCAAAGCATTATCAAAATATAACTTATAGCCAAGTTTTACTCTGTCCAAAGCTAGATATGGAATACAATCCTGATTAGGAATTTGGATGGATGAAATACGTGGATTTATAAATATAAGTCATAGAATTAGGATTACAAGCGATGTGATTCGTGGCCGAGTATTAATTATCCACGATTCTACTTTACCAAATGAATTTTGGGAAGCCAAATGAGCGTGTGGGCCAGTGGAGGATGAATGGCAGCCCAAAAAATGGGCCAGTTGTTGAACTTAGGCTAGAGAAAGAGTTAACAGCAGGCTCGGAAACAAAAAACTTGCGGGCTGTCCATGAATGGATGGTACTGGCGCATGGGCTTGGACCGAGGCAATAAGCCATGCACTGCTGATGATTGAGCTTAAGGCCCGAAGCTATGGGTTGTCGCTGCCGAGGAGTGAAGTGGAACATGGGCCGCTTCTGTTGCTAGGTGGACGTGGGCTGAAGGCCTGAAACCATTGGTTGATGTGGCCGCGGAATTGAAGGGTGTTGAAAATTTAGAATTGGAAGCAGTAGCTGTACATGGCCGGGATAGATTGTCTCTAGATTTTGGTTTATTTGCTAACTAGTTTTTTTATCCACGCTGCACCATCGATTGAATAAAGTTATATAAAATATTTTAAAAAAATCATTTCAGTTTAATAATCTATTTTATGGTCTGAATTTATAAAAATATATAAAATCAAAGGTGTAAAAAATTATTTAATAAAAAATTTTGTATTTAACTATTTCTTATTTGTGTTTTTCATAATTTTTCCTTTAGAAAAAGGATCCATCCTTGTTAATCCATTGATTATTAACTAAAAAGAAAATTAAATATATTTTTTAAAAAAAGCTTTAGTATTTCATAAGATTGTGTTAAAAAACATAAATAAAAATTATTAAAAACTTACATAGAATTGAACAAATATTTTTTTTATTTAATGTTGATGAGAATATCAATTTTTGAAAAAATATGAATTTAATTTTTATATATTTATTTACAAAAGAGTGAATAATATTTAACTAAAAGACTATATTAGTTTGAATCATTGAGTAGTTAAGCCAAAACATTTTGTTAATTATTTAATTTAAAATGAGTTAATTTTAAAATATTCAAAAACAAATAAATAAAATGCTTAGTGTAGTAGTAGTTGCACGGTCGATTTCTGAAAAATCAACGATTCAATATTTTTTTATACATTATAACTATACTAAGCGAGTTTAGAGTTTTTAGTCTAAAACAAAAAACTACTATAAAAAGTTAGCTTGCAAGGAATATATTGACTAAATTTGAAGTTAATAGAATAAAATAAAAATTATTACAAATTTGATTTTGAATAATTTTGATTATATAAAGAAGAAACAAATTACTAAAACATGTGAATTCCTTTTCTTTTCTTTTTTCTCCTTCTTAAATATTTTTTTATTTTAATATTATGCATGGCTAGTCCTTGAATATAGACCTTATGCACAGAGCAACTATCTTTTTTTTTTTTTTCACATTTGAATTTCAACTATTAATCAATTAATTTTAGTTTTTTCTAAAACAAACTGAGAAAAAATTGTTTGAAATACACTTTTAATCTAAAAATATGTTTTAGATAAATTATATATATTAATCATGTCACTATAATTTAAAAGTTATCTAAATCTATTTTTAGAAAGAAAAACAAATCATGTTCTAAAATTTTATTCTAAAATCCATACATCTAGAAAAATAAATAAAAAAATGTAAGTAAAGATAATTTTCAATTAATTAGATGAGAATTGTTTTTAAAAATGACATATTAAAGTAGTAAATTTTAAATAATAAAAATGATTAACAAAAAACACTAAAACAAAATGGAGTGAAATCACAATACAATCAAAGTTTGAATTTGAAAAAAAAAGAGAGAATTTTAAAAAATGACAAATTAATGTAGTAAATTTTAAATAATAAAAAAAATTGAGAAACAATTATTTGAAAAACACTTTTAATCTAAAAATGTATTTTAGACAAATTATATATATTAATCATGCCACTATAATTTAAAAGTATCTCAATCTATTTTTCAAAAAAAAAAAATAATCATGCTCTAAAACTTTATTCCAAAATCCATACGTATAGAAAAATAAATCAAAACTGTCATTAAATATAATTTTAAACTAATTAGATAAGAATTTAAAAAAAATAACAAATTAAAGTAGTAAATTTAAAATAATAAAAATAATTGATAAAAAATACTAAAAAACATGAGATGAAATCACAATATAATCAAAGTTCGAAATTGAAAAAAAAAGAGAGAGAATGTAAAAAAAGAAGACAAATTAATGTAGTAAATTTTAAATAATATAAAAAAAGTGAGAAAAAATTATTGAAAGACACTTTTAATCTAAAAATGTATTTTAGTAAATTATATATATTAATCGTGCTACTATAATTTAAAAATGATCTAAATCTATTTTCCAAAAGAAAAAATAATCATGTTTCAAAATTTTATTACAAAATCCATAAATATAGAAAAATAAATCAAAAATATTAGTAAATAGAATTTTAAATCGATTGAATGAGAATTTAAAAAATAGAAAATTAAAATAATAAATTTTAAATAATAAAAATAATTAACAAAAATACTAAAACAAAATGGGATCAAATCACAATATAATTAAAGTTTGAAATTGAAAAAAAAAAGAAATTTTTTTTAAAAAATGACAAATTAAAATAGTAAATTTTAAATAATAAAAATAATTAACAAATTAAAATTTGAAATTGAAAAAAAAGAGAGAATTTAAAAAATGACAAATTAAAGTAGTAAATTTTAAATAATTAAAATTATTAACAGAAAACATTAAAACAAAATGAGACTAAATCACAATATAATTAAAGTTTGAAATTGAAAAAAAAAATTTTAAAAATTTGAGGATCAATGTGTTAAAAAATGACATGAATAGTGATTTATGAGTGTGTAAATAGTGAAATGTATGTTTTACTTTTGTTTGTTTTATAACTAGATTTTTGACCCGCGGTGTATAAAATATATAAAATTATTTTAGTTTAATAATATGTTTTATTATTTGAATTTATAACAATATATGAAATCAAAGGTAAAAAAATAATCATAATTTTTTAATAATTTTTTTATTTAAATATTTCTTATTTGTCTTTTTCATTTTTTTCTTTACAAAAAGGATTTATCTATGTTAATCCATGGATTATTAGCTAAAAAGAAAACTAAATAATTTTTTTAAAAAAGCTTTAGTATTTTGTAAGATTGTGTCGTAAAATAAAAATAACAACTACTAAAAGCTTACATATTAATGAAAATAGTAATAAATGACAAATTATGAGTAATAAAATTCTTTATTATAATATATGTACTTTTTTTTTTTGAGAAATAAATCTTTTGTAATTTTTAATTAATAAATTATGTTACGTGATGGTATGTGCTTATAGACATAATTATTTTTTCAAATTAGATATTTTAAACTTTAGAAATAAATAATAAAGGAAATAAATTGTTGGTTCCTTCAAAATTTTAGCACCCAATTAATTATTGGTTTTTTTAAAATTTTAACACTCAACATTATTCAGAAATGAAAATTAAAAAAAAACAAACCATTCACTTTTCAAAAACAGAAATAAAAAAACTGTCACACCAAAAGAAAAATTAGATATTTTAAATTTTAAAAATAAATAATAAAGTAAATAAATTGTTAGTTTTTTAAAAAAATTTTAACACCAAACATTATTAAGAAATAGAAATTAAAAAAAATAGTTCAATGTTTAGAAAAAAAAAAAAAAGCAGGCCAGCCGTGAACAATAAACAACGAAATTTTTAAAAAGGGGGGGGGAGAGCTGTTTACTGTTCAAATGAATATTAAATAGAACAAAGAAAGGAAAGAAGGCGAGAGGGCGCTAGCCAAAAATAAAAATAAAAATTTAAATAAAAAAGCTAAAGCACAGTAATGAACAGTATTAATCACTGTTCATTACTATTTATTGCTACATTAAAAAATCATTTTATTTTAGTTTATAGTATAATTTTTTTTGTTAAACCAAAGACCTTTTTTCTACTTACAACTATTTTTCGTTACAATTTCTTTTTGTAAAAGACTGTAACATACTAAAAATACTTTAGTAAATATATTTAATAATTTATAACTTTTTTAATCCATGTGTGCATGTGCTAATATTTTTAATTAGATGATTCTTTAATTTAAAAAACAAATAAGTACAATTTCTTTTTGTAAAGATTGTAACAAGAGTTGCACATGCCTGTACTTTTTTTAAAATTGAATTAATGAATCATGATTTAACCATGGTTTTGATAGGAGATTATGTAATTTACTCATATACTCTTCAATCTTTCATAATAAAACAATCTAAGGCTTCAATTCATACTCTGGATGCAATTTCTTGAATGATCATTTTCTCGAAGTGATTTCACATTTCACTAACAGTGCTAACATAAGTCACATATGGCTGTATTTTTTTTTTAATTGAATTAATGGATCACCATTTAATCATGGTGTTACATTAAATCCATGATTGAAAATCCTCATAATTTATATCGAAGTAAGGTGAAGCTTAATACAACCATTCTACAATCACTCTACCTAAAGTTTAGACGAATTAAATTGCCTACTTCCTAAAATAAAGCTGCAAAATATAGAAGCACAAGTACTACATTTGATATAAAATATTACATATTCCGAAATAATCAAATGTACCAAAAAGAAAGAGAAACTAAATAAGATTACAGGAAATATCTGGAATCACAATGTGTCTTAAAAACGTGAAAAAAATTATGAACTTCAACGAACGGCCAATTCTCCCATTCTATTCTTATAGCCTTTTGACCATCAATATGCATGCATTCTTACATTAATGTGTGAGCTATAGTCTAAAGTTATAGTTGCTTTCTTTTTTTATTTTAAAATTTTTTATTTTTTTTATGTTAATGGGTAAATGATAGATATCAATAAGGGAAAAAAATATCCTTATTTATGAATTAATTATCCATTAACATAAATAAATAATATTATTTTATTCATATTTAAACTATTATCCATTAAAATATTTTTAAAAAATAATTAATAAATAGGTTGGTTAAGATAACAACATCGTATCTGATCCACTGCCATCTCTGGTCCTAGCAAATAGTGCAATGGCTTCAACAACAGGGAGTCCTGTGTTGCAATAATACGTCTTTGTTTTTTTATGAGTCTTTCGTAGCCTAGGTACAAATCGGCAAAGATAAGAGATTTTGTAATTCACTCCATATACCCTTCAATCTTTCATAATACGTTGAAAATGTCGATCTCTCCTGCTGCAATACAGCAATTGAACGCTTCAATTCATACTCTCAATGTAATTTCTTGAATGAACCTTTTCTCAAAGTCATTTCATATTTTGCTAACAGTAACAACAGGAGTCGCACATGGCTTTAATTTTTTGAAAATTGAATTGATGAACCATGATTTGATGACGATGACGTTGCATTGAATTTATGATTGAAAATCCCCATAATTTATATCGAAGTACGGGGAAGCTTTATACAGCCATTCTACCATCACTCTACCTGAAGTTCAGACTACTTAGATTGCCTGCTTTCTAAAATAGAGCTGCAAAACATAGAAGTATGAGGATTACATTTAATATAAAATATTACATAATAATGAAAAAATATTTGGTGATAATTTCCGTTATCAGCAATGAAATCTTCTTTATATATGGTACGTAATCGGAACCTATTTTGAGTAAACGAGTAAGTTATGGAACTTATAACAACTTTTACAAAAGAGCTCAATCTCTTTTCCATTCCAGCTTTTTTACTGTTTTTTTCTTCCTTTTGTCTATATCATCACCAAGCACATTAGCTTCCGCTTTTAAAAAAGGCAGCGTCTTCCACCAGGTCCCAAGCCATGGCCTATCCTAGGCAACCTTCTTCATACAGGGAACAACATGCCTCATATATCGCTAACAAACTGTGCCAGAACTCATGGCCCTCTAATTTCGCTAAGGCTTGGCACTCAAATCCTAGTTGTTGGGTCTTCTCCAGAAGCAGCAGAAGAAATTCTCAAAACACATGATCGTCTACTCTCTGCTAGATTTCTGCCAAAATCCAATCCCTATGGAAGCTCTGTCCTTGACCGCATTGCAATTGTTTGGGCAACCAGATGCACTGGTGAATGAAAGTCCCTAAGAGCGTTGTGCAGGACTGAGCTTTTCTCTGCGAAAGCAATAGAGTCACAAGTCCCATTGAGAGAAAAGAAAGTGAAGGAAATGGTGGAAATTTTGAGAAGTAGAGAAGGGAAAGTTGTTAGTATTGGAGAGGTCGTGTTCACAACTATTTTCAATACAATGGCTAATCTTATTTTCTCCAAGGACTAGATCGATTTGCAAGATGAAAGGGCTGGTAATGGATTGAAAAGCCTTGTTTAGACGATGATGAAGTTGGGGTCTACTCCGAATACAGTTGATTTTTATCCCATATTTGCAAGCTTAGATCCCCAAAGTCTGAGAAGGAAGACCTCAAGCTGTGTTAAAGAAATGTATGCGATATGGGGAATTTACATCAAGGAAAGAAGAGAAAGCTATGTTCCTGATGGCCCAAAAAAGGATTTCTTGGATGTTTTTCTTGCAAATGGATGTCACAATGATCAAATCAATTGGTTGGCTCTTGTAAGCAAGGAACATAGATCATTTCATGTCCAACTGTTCTTGTAGTTTATTTGTCGAGGACTTTTTGTTTATTTAATCACTTTGAACTTTGCAGGAATTGTTCTTTGCAGGCACAGACACTACTACCACAACAATAGAATGGGCAATGGTTGAACTCCTCAAGAACAAAGAAACCATGAAGAAAGTTAAACAAGAACTCCAATCCGAAATAAGAAAAGGCTCATTATATGAATCAAATGTCTCTCAACTTCCATATTTGAATGCATGCGTGAAGGAAGCATTAAGGTTGCACCCTCCAGCACCACTCCTTCTTCCTCATCGAGCTCTAGAGACCTGTGAGGTTATGAATTATTCCAAAAGATTCTCAAGTAATTGTAAATGTTTGGGCTATTGGGCGTGAACCTTCAGTCTGGGAAGACCCATTATCATTTAAACCTCAAAGAATCCTTGGCTCAAATTTGGACTTCAAAGGTCAAGATTTTGAGTTTCTCCCTTTTGACTCAGGAAGAAGAAGCTGCCCTGGACTGCCAATGGCTACGAAGCAAGTTGCCTTTATTTTAGCCAATTTGTTGCATTTATTTGATTGGTCTCTTCCAAATGGTGATGACTCAGTTAAGCTGGATATGAAAGAAAAGTTTGGCGTAACATTACAGAAGGAACAGCCTCTGCTTCTTGTTCCAACTTCCAACCCAGAAACTGTAACTTCATAAGTGGAACTGTCACAGTAATTTCAAGTATTGTGGTCTGCTTAATTCACAGCTTGCGCTGTCAATTCTTCTACTCTCTTTAATAAAATTAGTCATTGCTTCAAATTTTCTATTTCCAATTTGCATTACCCTTATAAATTTCTCTTATCTACCATGATGTTGGTATTCTAATTAATGTCATGCAATGATCATCTTTCCCACCCTCAATCATTCTGGATATAAAGACGGATAACTTGCCAGGAACAAGAAGATGATAAATTCTCCTTATTATCACCCTCGAATGCATGTGGCAAGAGGTATAACGAAAATCCAGAAGTGGACAGTTATGATAAGGATCCTATCTCTCTATACTCTGTTGTTGCCCTCACAAGTTCATGATTTGATTTTGACATTTAATGCAGCTCTTGGTTGTTGAAGTAAGAACTGTTGGTAATTTAAGCCTTTGAGGGTTAGGAATATTATTCAATGTATTGGTTAAAATCCAAAGTAAAGAATTTATTAAATGAAAAAAAAATATTTTGGTATATTTCCCTCCCTTTTTAAACTTAATACTGATAAATTATATTAATTTTACTTCCACTTTCTATCCATTTTAGACCACAACTTCATATTATTTAGTTTTCATATATATATATCGAGATTCATTATTTTCGTAATTTTTCAACTTACTAAACATGTTTGAAACTTCACCCCTTAAATCTTTTTTACGGTACCATTTACACTTTACTTTTAAATCTTACCACCTTTTATACGTTTCTCCTTCAAACTTTCCATTCTATACCGAACACAATCTAAGAGTTAAGAAGTAGAAGGAAGAACTCCAACTTCAACAATGACCAAGTCTCGATTCCAACGAGTTACGGTCGGTTAGGTTGATGCTTTTGTGCCATTTCGCACTATAATGTACCAAATTCGTATAAATATTAAGTCCTTTGATGCCACTTTCATCTGGGTTAACTACATAAAAAAGATCCATATATCTATCGTAGAAATGACAAATTTTTACACTAGTTGTAACCTACGGCAACCCCCTCTTTTATCAGGATTTGGGAAGGACTATTCTAGCCTAATCTAGCATAGATGGGGTTCAACAAGCTAGGATGGAAAGGCTCTATGTAATGATGTTGATTTTTCTTATCCCAATCAGTGTCTTTTTTAAGGACGATGGTAATGAAAGAATTGGCTACTACTAGCTAAATTGATATGACTAGTCATTGATTGAAATAATTGATTAATTGTCCTCAGAACAGTGATGGCGATGTTTGCTTTTAGACTCACAAGATCTATCTTCGAATAATCAAATGACACACTTAGCTCTATGTAATGAAATTGATCGCGTTGGTCCATATATACTTTTACCTTGTGAATATGCACGAAAGCAGATTTCACATTTCCCATGCACTTGCTAGTTTCAAAAGTTTTCCCTTGATTGCTAAACCAACTAAAAGTCTAGGAGAAATCAAATCTACGTGCTCATGCTTCATCAACAAAGTTAGTTGAGAAGAGTGAGAAGAAAAATCAAGGAGAAAACTAGTCCAAACCATTAGCCAATATAACTTTTGGGCCTAAGTTACGCCTAATGGACTTGGTTTATGTAAATTTGTGAGTTCTTTCAATTGGGACGAGAAAAAATGACATTTGTCACCGAAGTCTACCAATATTAATTAACAGTAATTAAAAAATTTTAAATAACAAAGTGCTAAATGGTTAAAAACTACTCCAAACCATTAGCCAACAGAAAACTAGTCCTTTTTTTTTTTTTTAATTTGGATCCTAGAATTTTTTAAAAATTAATAATGTCATCTTTGTATCTAAATTGATTGATTTTCTATAATTTTGACTGCATATGAAAAATACATAAATCTCTTTAATGTGACGACATATATTTTAGAAGAGAATTGTCAACTAAAGGGAAGAATGAAAGGAAAAAAAAGTTAATTTTATTTCACCTTCAAAATTCGATATTATTCATAACACCTTAATTTGGAGGTTAAGATATCTATTAATGAGAATAATTACATTATGATAGTATCTACTTTTGGAGGGAATAATTCACAAGCCTCATATATATGGGCTCATTGTTTGTACCAAAAGAACAGACCAGGTTAGTAATGGGCTGAGCTTGTCAAGTTAGTCCACATATGTAAGCTTACTCGGCGGACTTCAGGTTTCCAAACACGGCCTGGAATCCATTTCGGTCTTTTAATTTTTTTAATCATTTTAATAATTGAAGCCTAGCTTGCAAGTTTGGATTTCTATGATGAGGGAGAAGAGACAACGGATTTATTGAAACATTACAGCAAAATGTTATCAAGTTAAATCCAGACCGGAAGTCGGAAAGTACCGGCGGTTTCGGTTCACAAATTTCCATTAATTTAATAATTATACTGGATTTTTTCATCATTTAAAATTTTAAAAACATTAATGTATAATAATATAATCTAATCTGATTCCCATATTTATAATTTTTTAAATACCATTGATGTACACAGATTTTGCTTTATATTTATGTACCCGATAACTATTTTTCATTAAAACAATATTCGAGCGCCAAAAACTCTAGTTTTTATCCTTATAATGTACCGTTAGAACACATTTTTATTGTGATGCCCCAATGGAAAAAAAAAAAAAAAAAAAAAAAAAAATATATATATATATATATATATATATATATATATATAGCTTTGTGGAAGAATACATAGGTCAGATGACAACAAAACATTATTAAAAAGAAAAAGGAAAAAACACGAGGTTACAGGGGATGGTGCCATGGCAATTAGGAGTGCTCATTGATTTTTTAGTTAAGTTTCAATAACGAAAACCAAAATCAAATCGAAATAATGTTTGGTTTTTTGGTTTTGATTTTTGGTTAGTTCTGTTTTTAATATGGTTTTTTTTTTAAATATGAGAAAAAGATATAAACATTATGTATAAAAATAGGTTATAAATCTGAATTAATTAAAAAAAAATATATATATATATTTAAAAACCAGTTTTTCAGTTTAAACGAATTTTGAAAAAAAAAAAACCGAACTGAGCCAAAAAGCTAAAATTATTTTGATTGTTTTTTTTTTTTTTAAATAAACCACACTGAAATTGATATATCAATTTGTTTTAGTTTGATAATTTAGTTTCAACTGAACACTGAGCATCCCTAATTTGATATAACGTGAAGAGAAAGTCAACGGGAAAGGTCTAAGCAATGGGAGAAGGTTCTTAAAGGTATTAATTTTTCCTTAATCTTCCCTATTCGTACAGTTAATTTATTATTGTTGTTGTTATAAGCCTCCCCAAGCAAGCACTTAGTATATTCTATTCTTTGTTTAATTAGTACTGCTGGAGAAGTACTAATCTTACATTATACGCATTATTGTTGCGTTGACGATTGGTCATCCTATAGTTAATTCTAATTCGCAGTTAATTTACTCCTTAAGACTCCACTCCACCGCCCATTGCCCTTTGCTCCCCCATGCATCTTTGAAGTTATTAACCTACTGAGATACTATTTAAAATGATTAATGACAATAGACTCGAACCTGCATGTATTTTATGATATTTATGTGAAAAATTAAATAATTAATAATTCAAATAAAAAATATAAAAAAAATTGCTTTGATTTGAATCGATGGTTGTTTTGTTTTTGGTAGTTTCTTTTTTTTTTTTTAATACAAAGAATAGGAGATTTTTTTGAAGACAATGAGATATTAATGACATTTAAGTTACAATTTATCGACCACTTTCTTTTTATAACTTTTCTCTTTCTCTTTTAATTTCCATATAGATTTATGGGAAAACTTCAAATTAGTATCTCAATCCGATAATTAATTCTCAATTTAATTTCATTATAGAAAATCATGCACCAAACTTCTTTCATTAACAAATTATTATATACAAATAATGAGATTTAATGATTCGAAAACCCTCATACATGCTATGTTAAGAACCATGTCAACCTAATAATTAAGTTGTTGGATGAAATTTCAAAATATAATTTATGTTATTCTCTAATAGATAATTATTTTAATTTTAAAACAACTCATTTAATCATACCATCCATAATTATTATTGATGTATTCCGTACATATGTTTAAAATAATAGTTGTAGCATTAATGCCATGCAATTTTTTAGTTATTTATTCTACGTCTCTCTACCACATACTTATTGCTGAAAGGAAATTTGTACATCATTTGTCCATGAATTATATATATATATATAAAAGAATGCATGAGGGGTTAGAGATAATGCCACCCCCACCTAGCAACTTTCAGAACCAGCAGAATATCCTAATGATAGAAAGCCAGATGAACTCTTTGAAATGGAGTAAATTATAAAGTATTCTCTTTCATTTTGAGAAACAAATTAATTAATTTCTTTAATTTCAAAAACTAATTATTTAATCATTTTCATCAGTGTTGATTATGATTAATCTAATATTATTTTTTTTTATTTTATAAAATATCTTTTTTCTCATCATCTTTTTCATATTTTTAATTATTTTTTGTTTTCTATTTCTTAAAATAAAAAACCAAAAATAATTAAAAAATAGGAAAACAAAATAAAATTAAAAAAATAACTAATTAGTTTTTGAAATCATGGGATTAATTAATTCGTTTCTCAAAGCAAGAGGTACTAATCTATAATTTACTCTTTTGAAATGCCTCCAATGGTTGAAACATTGAATTTTCTAATGATTTATTTGTTGAAGAAACAGGGAGGCACGATGTGTTCAACTGGACCAAAATGCATATTTCTCACCTTACCTGGACAGTATCTACCAGACTGGATTAGCCTAACCATATCAATGCTATTTAATTAATATTCAAATCTCAATAATTATTTTTGGCTCTTCGTGCCCTAACACCTTCCATGTTTAAGCAATTAGCCATTATTATTGTAAATCTCTCTCTTTTCTTTTTAGAACCAACACCTAGAATAATAGTGTGTGTCTACCAGATTAATTAACACTCATCACCTTCGTGATCAACTTGATTCAAAACCTATCTCTCTTCAACCCTTTTTCTCTCAATCTCTCCCTAACCCCAAACCATAATAAATAGAGAGAGTTTTATTGAGAGAGACAAGCATCAACCAAGAAAAGGGAAAATTTTCCTAGTTTAACCATGGCTGGTACTAATCAACCATACCATGCCAGCTCCAAACCCTCTAAACCCTTCACCACCAATATCTATATCTCCTTGAAAAAAACCAATCTTTACACCTTAGCCCTTGTTCTTTTCCTTTGCGCCTTCTCTTATCTCTTCGGTATCTGGCGCCACGGCGGCTCCTTAACCCTTAACAAGATCACCACTGCTGCCTCCACCATCAAGAATTTTGTTCCAGTCCCTTGTGATCACTCAAAACCCACCGTCACCACCACAAGTGAAGGAAAACGCCTTGACTTTGCAACCCACCACAATGCAGACGATTTAGATGTCACGTCAACTTCGGAAGTCAAAACGTACCCCTCGTGCAATGTGAATTTCAGTGAATACACACCATGCGAGGACGCGAAAAGATCATTAAAATTCAACAGGCATCAATTGATATACAGAGAAAGGCATTGTCCGAAGAAAGATGAGAAACTCAAGTGTCGTATTCCAGCTCCATACGGATACAAGAACCCTTTTACATGGCCTGCTAGTAGGGATTTTGCTTGGTACAATAACGTGCCTCACAAGCATTTAACTGTGGAGAAGGCAGTGCAGAATTGGATCAGAACTGAAGGTGATCGGTTTAGATTTCCCGGTGGAGGCACTATGTTTCCTAATGGTGCTGATGCTTATATTGATGATATTGGAAGATTGGTTAATCTCAAAGATGGATCAATTAGAACTGCCATTGATACTGGCTGTGGGGTAATTAAGCTCTCTTCATCCTTAATTTCTACTATTCTTTTCTTAATCTTAAATTAAGTTTTTTTTTTTAAAAAAAAATCCAATTATTTGAATGTTAAAATGTTTTTATTCTCAAAACAGTGAAGATAAAAACGAAGATGAAGTCTTTTCAAGTTCCTTGAAAAAAATCCATTAATTGATTTCAAAGTCTTGTAACTTATTTTCGCAATGATTTTATTTTTTTCTAAATTAATATTTTATTTTTTGGCAAGTGAATCCAGGGATAAGATAAATATGAAATTGCCAATGAATTTTCAGGATTTCATTCTTAATTGAATTATTATCATGGTAAATCTGAGTAATGAGATTTGATTTACTACTAAATAAAGCATAAAGAAACTAACAAATATAGCTCCTCTAATTAATTGATTAGTACTCAAAGAAAATCCCAACTAATTGTACATTCTCGATTTACAATCACTTCATTGGGCCAAGTTGAACTTTTTTACTGGTTGTAAAATTCAACAGGAATTGGGGCCATATTTGACTGCCCAATGCAGCCTTGGATCAAACAGCCTAGATGAAGAAAAATATACTTGTAAATTAATTTTTCTCCAAAGTCACATTTTGAAGAATTTCAACCATTCGATTTGAGATCCAAGTTTCTTCATTCGATTAATTGGATTATTATTATTATTTTTTTTTTTTTGGAAAATGATTTCGGGCAAGAATCTTTGTATAAAATTGTCAGTCGGAATATTTCTGAATTATGACATTATTTTAAGCTTTGTAGCTTTTCAAGGCACTGAAATTTGTTACAACTAGTGCAGGTTGCAAGTTGGGGAGCTTATCTTCTGTCACGCAACATATTAACAATGTCCTTTGCACCAAGAGACACTCACGAAGCACAAGTGCAATTTGCCCTAGAACGTGGAGTTCCTGCCTTGATCGGAATTATGGCTTCAAAAAGGCTTCCATACCCATCTAGAGCCTTCGACATGGCTCATTGCTCTCGTTGCCTGATTCCGTGGGCAGAATTCGGTACGAACCAAAATTAATCACCTTATCGGTTTACCGATATGTGTGTTTGATAATGCAGTAGCTAAAATATTTTTAAAATTTTTTTCTCGGATCAAACAGGAGGACAATATTTGATTGAAGTCGATCGAATTCTAAGGCCTGGTGGGTATTGGATTTTGTCTGGTCCACCAATTAACTGGAGGAAGCATTGGAAGGGCTGGGAAAGAACAAAAGATGATTTGAATGATGAACAGACCAAAATCGAGACTGTGGCTAATAGCTTATGTTGGAAAAAGTTGGTGGAGAAAGGTGACATCGCTATTTGGCAAAAACCAGTCAATCATGTAAACTGTAAAGTTAACAGGAAGATTACAGAAAATCCACCTTTCTGTCCTGCTCAGGATCCTGACAAAGCCTGGTACGCACATGTGCTTTTCAATGCAAAAAAAGAAAAAAAATGTATAGTTTTCTTGTTTGGTATGGTTCTAATAGTCGATTAATAGGAACTCCATTCTATTTTTTTTTTCAGGTACACAAACATGGAGATATGTTTGACTAACTTGCCTGAGGTATCTCACAATCGAGACATCGCCGGCGGAGCATTGCCGAAATGGCCTGAGAGATTGAATGCTGTACCACCAAGAATTAGTAGAGGAACTTTGGAAGGGATTACAGCTGAAAATTTCCAAAAAGATATAGCATTATGGAATAGGAGAGTGTCATTTTACAAAGCTGGAAATAACCAATTAGGACAAACAGGAAGGTATCGCAACATTTTGGACATGAATGCTTACTTGGGTGGATTTGCTGCTGCTCTTACTAATGACCCACTTTGGGTTATGAATGTGGTTCCTGTCCACGCCAAGGTTAACACTCTTGGAGTAATTTATGAACGAGGATTAATTGGAACATATCAGGATTGGTAAGCAGAACATTTCTTACACTAATTTGGTTTGGTTAGAGTTATAATTAAAATCAAATGGGGGTGTTTATGGTTTCATTTCTTTTACAGGTGTGAAGCTATGTCTACTTATCCAAGAACTTATGACTTAATCCATGCTGATTCTGTATTTACCCTCTACGACGGCAGGTGATTAATTATGTAGTGAAGATTTTCTATGTTACCATCATACAAACCTGTGGCTTTTCCTGTTCTAAAACATTTGCAGAATCGTGGTCATTAACATTGTTATAGTAACATGCAGAATCATGGCTTTTCTTGTCTGACATGAATTTTTGTTACAGATGTGAAATGGAAGATGTATTGCTAGAGATGGATAGAATTCTGAGGCCTGAAGGAAGTATAATCTTTAGAGATGATGTTGATGTGTTGGTGAAGATCAAGAAAATAACTGATGGATTGAACTGGGATGGTCAAATTGTTGATCATGAAGATGGACCTCATCAAAGAGAAAAACTTCTTTTTGCTGTCAAATCTTACTGGACAGCTCCTGCTGATCAAAATTAGTCTTCCATATCTTCTTAAGGAGCTGCACTTCCATTTGATTTGTTTCTGTTTAGATTTTTTTTTCCTTGTCTCAAATATGATTCTTTCTTAGAATAGTTAAAGCTTAACCAAATTCAGAACTCTCCAATTTATGTTACACCGGCCTCTGAAATTGGACATACAAAAGCCTTAGCTTCTTGTTTCAAATTTTGTATCTACCTTCGTTAAAGAATTGGAAATGGAATTGTGTCTAAAATCTAAATCAAGCACTTTTTGTGGACTGGCCACATTTTTTAGGAACAAATTTGATGGAGTAAATTATAAATTATTCTCTATCATTTAGAGAAACAAACTAATTAGTCATTTTTCTTTTAAAAACTAGCCATTTAGTTTCCGTTTTAATTTCATTAATAACTTCGTTATTTTATCAATTTTATATTAAATTAGTGATTTTTGTTTTCAAATTGTATTTTTTTTTTAATTTTTGGTTAAAGAGATCATAAAAAGAAAGTGGGTGAAAAAGAAAAATAAGGCATCAAAAGAATAACAATTGAAAAAAAATCATTAATCTAATGAAAAACTGATAAAAAGACTAAATTATTAATGAAATTAAAATGCCAGATGACTAAATGATTTTTTTTAAAAAAAAAAACACGAGGCACTAATTAATTCGATCTTGAAACAAGAGGGACTAATTTATAATTTACTCAAATTTGATGATAATCTAACCACGTTGAATTCAACACAATTGTTATGAGCTCAGAACTATTAGGCGAGTCATGTGAAAATCAATTACATCTAGCCAACCTTCAACTATAAATTAAGGCAAAAGCTGGCCTAACAGAGAAGACATCAAAGCAAGCTATCATAATTCAGCACTAGCTAGAAAGTTACTCAATCAGCAGAGAAATAAGATAATCGAATATGGAATCTCTCAAGTCCCTTAGCTCCTCAGCAGCACTGCTTCTCTTGCTCATTGCACTCGCAGTGCAGACTCAACTGGCTCACTCGCAGCAGTGCACATCGCAACTCAGCAGCCTAAATGTTTGTGCACCATTTGTGGTGCCTGGTGCCACTAACACCAGCCCTAATTCTGAATGCTGTAATGCTCTAGAGGCAGTGCAACATGACTGCCTCTGCAGCACTCTTCAGATTGCATCTCGCCTTCCTTCTAAATGCAATCTTTCACCTCTCACTTGTGGTAACTAGGAGGTACGTATCAACTTCATGAAGAAAACTTTAAAATTTTTTTAACAAATATTAAACATTATGAACATCTTAATAGCAAGTGCTTCTTTTTTAGACCTGCTATCATTCTTTAAAAAATATATATATATATATTAGTTTTGATTAACGCATATTGGAGAGGATAGCTCTTACCCTTCATTTTTTTTGTAAATTTGTCACTCTTATGAGACATCAAATCAAATGTACATGCATGGAACTGCATAATAGTTTGATTTGGATTTTTTTAATAATGTTTATATATTGTCTATTAATTTGCAGATACAAAACAAGCATGAAGTCGGCTGGCGAAAGAGTGACCAAATAATAATGTTCCAGTTTCAATCATTGAAGTTTGTGATCCATCAATCGTCTTTTTTTTTTTTTTTTTACTTTTCATTTGTGTCCTGATTGTAACCAAGCAGAAACTTCATGCTGATTAATAAATAAAGCAGATTGTGAGTTGTTTTAAGATAATTGTGATTGTATATGTAGTTACATGTACGTAGCAAACAATTGTTATAATAATTGGCAAGACAAAGGATTGATCTAGAATGCTGAGTGGCATGCCATGAAATTGCACAACTGATTAGATCATTGCACTTATCCAAAAACAATTAAAAATAGGTGATTGAAGATAGCTTTGTGATGATAGGATTGGATGAAAATTAAATTCAAAACAATAATGCCAATACTGAGTTATATATATTTAATCTCATAAGCTGAATTGACATTAATGATATTCTTCTTAAAAAAAAAAACAACAAATTCGAATCTTTCTTTTTTTTTTAAAAAAAAAAAAAACCTTCTTCAAACATATTTTTTCTCTCTAGCGTTGTCCCTAAATTTTTTCCTGTTGCGTTGTCGACGGCCAATACAAAGCTCTGATGGTTTCTTCTTGTTTTTTTCCTCTTGAGTTGAGATTTATACGCTGGTGGGTAAGGTGGATTAGTGGATCTATTAGAGCAAATATCTCATATTAAATAGTAAAATAAAAAATAATTAACATATAAAATTGAGAATAAGCCATTGATCACTACAAAACTTAAGTGTTTTACATAAAATCCAATCTTAACAAGAAGATTTTGGAGGGTGAACCAAAATTACTACAGTAATGGATTGTTGACAATGGCTAGCTAGTGAGCGATGGATTGTTGATGATGGCTAGAATAAAGCTTGTGGACTCTAAAATGTTTTAGAAGAATTACGTTCATGAACATGGAGTTGGGGTTGGTTTTGCGTATGGTAGTCATGGATCGTCCAAGTTGTTGTTTTAATGGTAGGAGATTCTTGAGATTTTTCTAATGATGGTTGGTATTAAAAATTATTTCAATCTAAAAAATTAAATTGTTAAGTAAAGCTAAAAAAAATATAAACATCCTGAAGTAATAGTTTTTTAAGCTTGAACTATCTTATGCTATTATATTTTTATTTAGTTAAAAGAATAAGAAAAATTATTACTTTCTTTTTTTCTCTCTTCAATCACTCTCTCTTGGCAACTGTATACAAAGGAAGATAAAATCATTCTTTTATATACACGTGCTAGCTAAACAGAAAAAAACAAGCATGAAGTCGGCTGGCAAAAGTACTGTGACCAAATAATAATGTTCCAGTTTCAATAATTGATGAAGTTTGTGATCCGTCAATTGTCTTCTTCTTTTTTTCTTTCATTTGTGTTCTGATCTGTAACCAAGCAGAAACTTCGTGCTGATTAATAAATAAAGCAGATTATGAAAGTTGTTTTAAGATAATTGTGATTGTGTGTGTAGTTACATGCACGTAGCAAACAAATGCTGAGTGGCATGCCATGAAATTGCACAACTGATTAAATGATTGCACTTATCCAAGAACAATTAAAAATAGGTGATTGAAGATAGCTTTGTGATGGTAGGATTGGATGAAAATTAAATTCAAAACAACAATGCCAATACTGAGTTATATATATTTAATCTCGAGCTGAATTGACATTAATGATATTCGTCTTCAAAAAAAAAAAAAAAAAAAAAAATCGAATCTTTCATTGAAAAAAAAAATACACCTTCAAACATATGTTTTCTCTCTAGCGTCATCCCTACATTTTCCTCTTGGGCTGTCGGCGGCCAATACAAAGCTCCGGTGGTTTTTTTCTTGGTGTTTTTTTGTCCCTTGAGTTGATGTTTCTATGATGGTGGGTAATTAAGGGGGATTGGTGGTCTTGGTGTATTGATGAAGATTTGGTTGGGCGAACAAAAATTACCACAGTAACGGATTGTTGACGATGGCTAGCTAGCTAGCTAGTGATGAATTGTTGATGATGGCAAGAATCAAGCTCGTGGACTGTAAAATGTTTTAGAAGAATTACGTTCATGAACATGGAGTTGGGGTTGGTTTTGCTTGTGGTAGTCATGGATCATCCAAGTTGTTGTTCTCGTGGTTGAAGATCCTTGAGATTTTCCTAATGATAGTTGATGTTAAAAACTATTTCAACATAAAAGATTAAGTTATTAAACGAAGCTAAAAGAGTATAACCATCCTGGAATGATAGTTTTTTAAGCTTGAACTATCTTATGCTATTATATTTTTATTTAGTTAAAAGAATAAAAAAAATTATTATTTTCTTTTTTTCCTCTTTAATCGCTCTCTCTTGGCGATTAACGACTGTATACAAACGAAAGGTAAAATCATTCTTTTATACACACGTGCTAGCTAAATAGAAAAAGAAAAAACACGGTCGTTTTCTTCCTATTCGATCAACTTCAAATCTTTTTCCGATTAATCCATTTCTTAATTAATCTTTTTTCTAATTTATTTTTCTTAGGTTATGTTAAAGTGGCTAATAGGCTGGACCTATAGCATACACTGATCACTAATTACATCGAATTAACTTCATTAGTCCATCTGCTATTAATTAATATCACTTGTAAATGAGCCCATCAAGAATTCAAAAACCTGCTTACGAAGGAGACTATGTTCATTCTTCAATGAACTGATGAAGTCATACCCAAAATTGCTAAAGAAATTTAATGTAATGGCAGTTTTAGTCCCTGAACTATTTAGATTAAAATATATTTAAGTTTGAACTATTAATTTAGTTAATTACATTTGAATTATTATATTTTAAATAAATATTTATCTTTTCGTTTAATTTGATCGTTAGGTCAATGTCACAAACATTTCTTAAAAGAATGATTTTATCACTGGGGTCTTTGCACTGTACTCTCAAGTACTATATAAGTTTCTTTATCGAGTCCTTCAACCATTGAATCAATCAGGTCTTTCAACTATCTATGTTTCATCAATCAAATCCTTCTTTTTAGATTTCATTTTCTTCTATTATTAATTTTTTTCCTCTCAACGATTTTTTGTTTTTGCTTTTTTTTTTTTTTTCCGGTTCGATGATAAAGTTAGGGGTATTTGTTCTGTTATTTGATTCAGTTTCGAAATATTTTGAATGGTTTTTGATTAATCAAATTAAAAAAAAAAATAATAATAACAGAAACCGAAATTGAAATGTTATTTGGAATGACCTTCATGGTGCCTGCCCCTTTTTCTAGTGGAAACACAAAACAAATAATGACATCCCGCCCTCCAAACTAAAGTGGATTTTCTTTTCCATCCTCTCGTTTTTCTGGTTTTTCCAAAGATCAAAGCCAAATGCTTCAGGGTCCTACCACTAATACACTTATCATTGTCTTGTGGAAACTCATCTGTCTTGAGCAATCTTACTGGTAGAAATATTCACTCGCAGAATATGCCTACGTTTATGTTTACCTTTTCCTCAGTTTATTTAAGATTAAGGCAGATTGAAAAAGTTTCACAATCTAGTGAATGGAAATCATATTCACATAATTTATTTTCCCAGTAACACTTATCCAAGTATAATTTAAGACCTATGACAGAAGACTATTGTACATAAAGAACAAGAAATTATAAAGGGTTCATCTTCAGCCTATATTTTTCCTTTGTCTCTTCGTTTTATGAAGTTGAAGATCAGCTAAAATTTGGCTTGTTGTTAGTCTTTTGGCTTTGGGATTCTCAGGAGAAGACCCACACTTCTCCACTTATTCATCAGCTTTTCTGGCTAGGTGTGTTTCTCATTCACCGATGAAACATTCTATACCTTTTTAGGCCTTGATGCATCAAATAATTATAAAAAAATAAATAAAAAATCCACACTCATTTGGGTCTAATTTCCTCCCTTCGTTAAAGAATTGGAAATGGAATTGTGTCTAAAATCTAAATCAAGCATTTTTTGTGTACTGGCCACATTTTTTAGGAACAAATTTGATGGAGTAAATTATAAGCTAGTCTCTATCGTTCAGATAAACATACTAATTAGTCATTTTTCTTTTAAAAACTAATCTTTTAGTCCTTTCCGTTTTAATTTTATCAATAACTTAGTTATTTTATCAGTTTTATATTAGATTGGTGATTTTTTTTTCCAAATTGCATTTTCTTTGATTTTTGGTTAAAGAGATAGAAAGAAAGTGGGTGAGGAAGAGAAATAAGACATCAAAAGAATAACAATTCAAAAAAAAAAAAAAAAACGAGAGGCACTAATTAATTCATTCTCGAAACAAGAAGGACTAATTTATAATTTATTCAAATTTGATGATAATCTAACTATGTTGAATTCAACACAATTGTCATGAGCTCAGAACTTCCATTAGGTGAGTCACGTGAAAATCAATTATATCTAGCCAACCTTCAACTATAAATTAATTAAGGCAAAAGCTGGCCTAACAGAGAAGACATCAAAGCAAGCTATCATAATTCAGCACTAGCTAGAAAGTTAATCAGTAGAGAAATAAGATAATCGAAAATGGAATCTCTCAAGTCCCTTAGCTCCTCAGCAGCACTGCTTCTCTTGCTCATTGCACTCGCAGTGCAGACTCAACTGGCTCACTCGCAGCAGTGCACATCCCAACTCAGTAGCCTAAACGTTTGTGCACCATTTGTGGTGCCTGGTGCCACTAACACCAGCCCTAATTCTGAATGCTGTAATG